GTTTCCCATTCCGCCTTCTGTTCCTCCGTCCTGTAACTTCGAAATGAGTGAACGCTTCACTTATTCACTAATTATGCGTTTTTGCATCTTTTGCAAATATAGAAACGCATATTGTTGGATGTCTGTGCGTTTGCATTCGGAAGCGGATGAATTTTGTTATTCATTTCAACTCCGCAACGGAGAAAGCTGGAAGACTGAAATTTTGGGAATAAATGATCTAGCAGTGTAGTGGAATTTAATTTATTCAACAAAAAAGCACATAATGAAGGCTAACGCGAAATGTGCGATGAAATTGTAGATGGGCCATCCAATGAGGAATGAATGAGGGCAATCGTTGGAGGCAAGCCAGATGCGATCCAGCCGGATCTTCTCTTTCAGCTTGTAACTGTTTGCTGCCCTGCAATACGTGTGGTTTAGATGGCACGATTGTCAAAATTGAAAGGCATGTTTGATGATGTGATAATGATGATAACTAGACTGACTTGGTGCACTTGACGTCAGTTTAGGAATAGAAAATGTTGCTAAAAGGGCCTGCTAAAAAAAAAATCCTGTATATAGCACATGTCAGCAATAAGGTATATTTATGTATTCATGTGGTGAAGCAAAATACCCTCCATACTGATGTGATAAGCCTCTCCAGCTGCTTTGGATGAGACACTGTTCACGGAGATGGAATAATTCATTTCCTTCAGCCTAAAGTGATAAGTTTTTTAAGATTTTTGTAGTACACTCCAGTGATGGCTACTGTCTATTTACTCTCTCACACCGTCTTAACTAATATGGCCTTCTTTACCCACCCTTCATATTTCTCCTAATACCGAAATGCGGCTATGAGTTAGACCAGCCTATGCTAATTTGGCTTGATGATGGATTTTCTAAAACAGAGTTTTGTTTTAGTCAGACAGTGATTATTCAGCAGAGTTGCAAAGCTCTGGATTAGGATGCGCTCGACTATACATTCACCTAGTAGGGGTTGTTTAATTTCGGATCGTGCTACAAAAGAACACATGGTTTAAAAACTAAAATTTGAGGGAATAAACTGAGAGTCAAAACCGCCACCAAGCTGATCAGTGAGCAATGCAACATTGGCCAAAGCATCTGAAAAAGTTATCAGCTGCATAGCTGGAGACAGCGTTTTGACTGTAGCTGATCAGGGTATCAAAATAACGTTACAAATGAATAGATGGAACCCGACAACGTTATTCCCCGGATATACCGTCCATAGCAATCGCCACCATAAAATGCGCAGTTCGGATTTTGGGTTTCACTGTATATTTGTCTGGAAAAGCGCCACTACTGCCGCTCTGGTCGCATAAGCGGACTTACACAAATTTGGGTCGTTGCGGCGAGGCGATTGTCCGGTGAGATTATAAATGTCCAGGTCTGTCCATCAAACCCTCCGGGTGCTCTCATTTCGCCGTCATACATCCATTGCCAAATCAAGAGAGAGGGAAACCCTACTACCAGCTGATATCAAATTCACTACAATGGAATAGGATCTAGAAGGAGCGCAAGTTCAACACTGGAACCAACGATTCAGTGTAAAAATCGAAAGTAAGAGGATTTAAAAATTCTTTTAACAGGAAATTTATCAAGCAAAAACACGTCAGATGTAAGAAAAAACACGTCATTTTTGCATATGTGCAATCATTGGCGACGCGCACTGGGCGGGACCGCGCGATCATGCGTTTTTGCAGTGTTTCGTGCTGTAATAAGATCACTCGAAATTCCGTTAGCTAGAACCTCTGACATACTGGTCCTTGAATTTCGGGAAGTTAATTGTCCACGCTATACTTGGACAGGGAACATTCCTTTGAAATCCCAGGTTCCCAGCTTTCCCAGTTCCCGAGTTACCCAAATTCCAGCCAGAAAATTTCGAGGGGCCGTACGTGGCAACCACGCATGACTGGGGGCTGGATTTGATAAATTTAAGCTGCAGATGAGTTGGGAACATTTCCTGAAAGTTTCAGCCTCCCAGCTTCTCTGATTCCGGAATTATCCACTTTTCCGCCAAAAAATTTCATGGGGCCGTATGTGATAACCACGCATAACGGGGGGATGAATTTGATAGATTTAAGTTGTAGATGAAATAAATTTAAGTTGCTGAAAGTTTCAGCCCCCCAGCTTTCTTGTTTCCCAAGCTAGCGATTTTCGCGCCAGGAACCTTCATGGAGCCGTACTTGGGAAACGCGCAAACCTGGGAGCTGAATTTAAAATCTTTGAGTTCTATGTGGACGGGGAGCATAATCCCAAAATTTCAGCTTTCCAGCTTTCCTAGTTCTCATGTTAGCGATTTTCCCGCCAAAACTTTGAGGCGCTCGTACGCGGGGCCTAGACGTCCGTGAGGATTGGTAACGCGGTCTCGGGGTGGCAGTTGGCCGGGGAATCCACTCTCAAAATTTTGGCGCCGAAGCTTGTTTGGGCGTAGAGTTGAAATACCCGGACAGACAGACAGATAGACAGACAGACAGACACACACACACACCGGGGTCGTCACAACAAGCGTTTTCGCATTTGCATATATGCAAAAACGCACAAAAACATCCATTGTGACGACTCCAGTGTGTGTGTGTGTGTGTGTGTGTGTGTGTGTTTGTGTGTGTGTCTGTCCGGGTATTTCAATTCGGTACCCAAACAAGCTCCGGCGCCAAAATGTTGTGAGTGAGTTGCTGACCAAGTGCCACCCCGTACCGCGGTACTAATTCTCAAGCACGTCTAAGCCCCGCGTGTGAGTGCCTCAAAGTTTTGGCGAGAAAATTGCCAACTTGGGAACCAGAAAAGCTAGAAAGCTGAAATTTTGGGATTATGTTCCCCATCTACATAGAACTCAAAGATTTTAAATTCAGCTCCCAGGTGTGCGCGTTTCCCGCATATGGCCCCGTGAGGGTTCCTGGCGCGAAAATCGCTAGCTCGGGAACCAAGAGAGCTGGGAAGCTGAAACTTTCAGGAAATGTTCCGAACTCATCTACAACTTAAATTTATCAAATTCAGCCTCCCGTTATGCGTGGTTGCCATGTGCGTCTCCGCTAAAGTTTTTGGCGGGAAAATGGATAACTCCGGAGCCGGAGAAGCTGGGAGGCTGAAACTTCCAAGAATTGTTTCCAGCTCATCTACAACTTAAATTTATCAAATTCAGCCTCCCGTTATGCGTGGTTGTCACGTACGGCCCCGTGAAATTTTTTGGCTGGAATTTGGGTAACTTGGGAACTGAGAAAACTGGGAACCCGGGATTTGAAGGGAATGTTTCCTGTCCAAGTATAGCCTGGATAATTAGCTTCCCGAAATTCGAGGACCAGTATGTACAAGAGGTTTCTAGCTAGCGGAATTTCAAGTGATCTTATTACAGCAGGAAACACTGCAAAAACGCACGATCACACGGTCCGCCCAGTGCTCGTCGCCAATGATTTTGAAAACACGTACGTCCACCCACTTGAATCTGCCTGACCTCATCTCTCATGGGAACTCCACTCCGATTTATCATATTAATGGCTATTTTGTGAGAATACCCTCAAGGCTTTTCAAAAGTTAAAAATCGTGACATCCTCCTGTATTTGACTTGGAAGAATCCGGGATAACTCTAGGAATCTCACAAGGACAAAAAAATAGCTTGCTATCAAGGGCAGAAACTGACATTCTGTTCAACGACGTGAACAAAGTTCAAGCCAGTACCTACACATCGCAGACCTATTGATTTTGGTTAATCCAACCAAAATCCTATAAATGGCTGCCAAACTTTCTGGGAGTCCGAAAATACACTGTAAGTGAGCTGCCTTCCACTTGCTGTCTTGGATGTTGCCACTGCCGATAAGCCAACAAAAAAAGGGTGAAGATCTACGGAACAGAATAACACTGCAGCTAATTTTGGAGAATTTAGTAAAGGTTATTACTGTATACTTGCTTTGAAGAGAGGTGGAAAAAGAACAAACTTTTGCTTGGCAACAAGGAGAAGATCCGAGAAAAGGAAGAAGTAACGTGAGGAGGTGAGTAGCGAGTCGAGAGCCGTCAGCTGCACCGCGCCTTCCTTGATGTAGGACCGCTTCATGTCAATACCCACAAAACGGCAATCATCGGACTGCAAAATAATCCTGGATAGCACCAGTTTCATCCATGCTAGCTCTTGAACACTGCAGCTTGCTAGTAATAATCTGTTGTGGAACTGATAAAATAGTCGCAATGCCTTACGTACCCTCCGCGCCGTCTACAGCCGCAAACCCCCAGCCAAAGAGCTCGGAACTGCCAAGAATCTCAGGTGATTAGATGACACCACTATAAAACGGTCTAGATCTGTTGATATGAAGTTACAACTGCAAGCCGCTGATGAGGAATAAACTCAAGAAATACTTTTTCAAGAAAGCGCATCAAGTCTAGTGCAAAAACGCATGAACGTACGGTAAGCTTTGCTCGTTTCAGCCGCATCCGACAACCTCTCGACAACATGCGGTTTCGTATTTGCTTAAAAATGCAAAAACACAAAGAACAAATCAGTAGTCCAATTATTACCACAAAAAAAAGAAACGACAGAATTGTTTTTAAACTGCAGGACTGCTGACCATATCGATTTCGAAAAGTTGCTAAGTGCTACATTAGAGGTGAAGAGAAATGCGACGAAGAAAGAACTGATCAAAGAATCAAAGTAAGTAATCAGAGCAAGAACCAGGTCAGTCCAAAAAAGCTGAACTTTGGCAAAGATTAGCAATAACAATAAATTGATAAAAAATAAGCGAGTGAAACAGAATAAAACTACAAGTAGAAGAAAAAAGACAGAAATTGTAATATAAATATAG